TATTTAAATGAATTTATTTTAATAATATTTAAAAATAAAGATTACTTTACTGAAACTTGCAAATTTGCAACTTTAACACTACTAGTAATTAGCTATAAAGTAACTATATAATTACTTTATAGTAGTTATAGTTTTACATTTACTACATGTTAGCAATACATCTACTACTACTTACTACTACATTACTACTATTTTATTATATTTTTACTACAATTTTATTAAAAATTTTTTATAAAATTACTATCTTACTATATTTTTATTACAATTTTACAAAAAATTTTTTGTAAAATTGTAGTAAAAATATAATAAAATAGTAGTAAAATAATAGTAACATAATAGTAAGCAGTAGTAGGTGTATTGCTAACATAAAGTAAATGTAAAACTATAGCTACTATAAAGTAGCTATATAGTTACTATATAGCTAATTACTAGTTAATTACTAGTGGTATTAAAAGTTGCAAATTTTGCAAGTTTCAGTAAAGTATATTATAATAGTATATAATCTTATTTTATAAGAACAAAAATTTTAAGTTGCTTATAAAATAAATTTAAAAAAATTTTTAGTCAAAAAATTATCTAGTTTTTGGTTACAAGAATCCCGACATTTAAAATCCCAACGTTCAAAATCTTGACAACAAAATCCCAAAGTACAAAATCCCGACAAATTAAAATCCCGACAGTATCAAAATCCCAACATTCAAAATCCTGACAATATCAAAATCCCAACTATCAAAATCCCAATTATCAAAATCCCAACTACCGAAATCCCCAACTATCAAAATCCCCAACTATCAAAATCCCAACTATCAAAATCCCAACAATCAAAATCCCGACCATCAAAACCCCGACACCATCAAAATCCCGATACCATCAAAATCCCAACATGATCAAAATCCCGACACCATCCCATGGGATAACTTTCGCATGATTGGAGGATCACATGAAATTGAATATTGCACTACGATTAGTCATATGCGCTGGCATGTGACAACAAGGTATATAGATTTACTTCAATATTATATCTCATGATCTTACCTCAAATTCACCTACCCACACGTCCATAAGTCCAGGTGCCTGGATCGAAAAGGCTCCAAACACCATCAGATTCGACCTGTTTCATAAATCAAAAATCCAAAGTGCATAGGATACCATTCGAGTAACCATTAGTTCCCGAGATGTAAGATCCAGATGCTCTAATATTATGAATGTTCAAACCAATACCACCAGCCGTTTTCGAAATCATGGCACATGTCTTCAACGTCTCGTAGATGCATTCAATTGAATCATCCTTTACTAGTGATACGGGCTGACCCCGACCCATCAGCCGGGCGGGCGGGCGGGCCGAGGGTCGACCCACACCTTCACGGGCCGACCGGGCCGACTAAGATAAGTTAGGGTTTAAATGGTAAGTTACTGAGATTATTGATGTAAGTTGCAAGAACTT